CAAAGCTACCTTTTTTTTTAGTGGGGAGGGACAGGTCAGGAATAGACTTTAACATACAGTATCTATTATCAAGTAATACTTTATAAAGTCATTTTTAAATTGCATTAAAATACACATAAGGCTGGGCATGGTGGCTCATGCCTGTGAGGAGGCTGAGGCAGGAGGATGGCTTGAAGCTAGGAGTTCAAGACCAGCCTGGGGACAACATAGCAAGACCTATCTCGAAAACAATTATTTTGCCGGGCGCAATGGCTCACGCTGGGTGTAGGGCATGTGCCTGTAGTTCCAGCTACTTGGAAGGCTGAGGCAGAAGGATAACCTGAGCCAAGCAGGTCGAGGCTGCGGTGGTCATGAGTGCGCCACTGCACTCCAGGCTGGGCGACAGAGTGAGACTCCAATTCAAAAACAAAACAAAATTTAATTAGCTGGGTGTGGTGGTACTTGCCTATAGTTTCAGCTACTCAAGAGGCTGAGGTGGAAGGATCACCTGAGCCTTGGAGTTCCAGGCTGCAGTGAGCTAAGATCGCACTACTGTACTTGAGCCTGGCCAACAGAGGGAGATCCTGTCTCCAAAAAAAGAAATACACGTAACATAAAATGTACCATCGTGACTCTTTTAAAGTGTATAGTTCAGTGGCATTAAGTACATTTACACCGTTGTGTAACCATCACTACCATCTATCTCCAGAATTTTTTCATCTTGCAAAACTGAAACTCTGTACCCATTAAATACTAACACTCCACCATCCTCTCCCCCAGGCTCTGGCAACCACCATTCTACTTTCTGTGCCCAGGAATTTAACTACTCTTTTTTTTTTTGAGTTGGAGTCTCACTCCATTGCTCATGTTGGAGGGCCGTAGCACGCTCACAGCCACCCCAGCATCAGTCTGCTGGGCTCTGGTGGTCCTTCCGCCTCAGCCTTCCAAGGAGCCAGAACTACAGGCATGCACAACCACACCTGGCTAATTTTTTATTTATTGTGGAGAGGAGGTCTGGTCAAGTTGCCCGGGCTGGTCTCAAACCCGTGGGCTTAGGCAATCCACTCGCCTCGGCCTCCCAAAGTGCTGGGATGACAGGCTGAGCCACCGAGCCCGGCCAGTTGACTACTCTCAGGGGTCTTATGTAAGTGGAATCATACAATCTTTGTCCTTTTATGACTGCTTCACATCACTTATAAGGCATAATGTTCTGAATGTTGCCGCATGTGTCAGAATGCCCTTCCTAATTTTAAGGTTGAATAATATTGCATTGTGTGTAAACACCACATTTTGTTTATTCATTTGTTGATGGACCCTTGGGTTGGCGCCACCTTTTGGCTATTGTGAATAATGCTGCTAAAAGGCATACAGATATCTATTCAAGACGCTGCTTCCAATTCTTTTGAGTTTATACCCCAGAGTAGAATTGCTGAATCATGTGGCAATCCTGTCTTTAATGCTTTTTTTTTTTTTAGTTGGAGTCTCACTCTGTCACCCAGACTGCAGTGCAGTGGCCACTCCCGGCCACCACAGCCTCGACCTGCTGGGCTCTGGCGATCCTTCCGCCTCAGCCTTCCGCCTCAGCCTTCCGAGTAACTGGAATTACAGGCATGCACTACCACGCCCAGCTGATATTTTGATTTATTGTAGAGATGAGGTCTCACCGACTTGCCCAGGTGGTTCTCGAACCCGTGGGCTCAGGCAATCCACTCACCTCAGCCTCCCAAAGCGCAGGATTACAGGCTGAGCCACGGAGCCTGGCTTCTTTGATGTTTTAAGGAACACCATTCCTTTTATTTATTTTCTTATTCATTTGTTTGTTTATTTATTTATTTACTTTGAGTCAGAGTCTCACTCTGTTACCCAGGCTGGAGTGCACTGGCACGCTCACGGCCATCCCAGAGTCGACATGCTGGGCTCCGGTGATCCTTCTGCCTCAGCTTTCCAAGTAGCCAGAACTACGGGCATGCGCTACCACGCCCAGCTGATTTGTGATTTATTGTAGAGATGAGGTCTTGCCAAGTTCATGGACTGGACTCGAACCTGCGGGCTCAGGCAATCCATTCGCCTTGGCCTCCCAAAGTGCGGGGATGACAGGCTAGAGCTGCTGAGACTGGACAGGAACGCCATTCCTTTTAATGCCTATGTAATATTATTATTATTATTATTATTATTTTTGCGTTGGAGTCTCACTCGGTCGCCCAGACTGGAGTGCAGTGGCCGCTCCCGGCCACCGCAGCCTCGACCTGCTGGGCTCCAGTGATCCTTCCAAGTAGCTGGAACTACAGGCGTGTGCTACCACGCCCGGCTAATTTTTGATTTATTGTAGAGATGAGGTCTTACCAAGTTGCCTGGGAGGGTCTTGAACCCGCGAGCTCAGGCAATCCACTCACCTCAGCCTCCCAAGCCCCGGGATTACAGGTTGAGCCACCAAGCCCGGCTATAATATTTTTTAATATGACCCAATCACATATCAACTGATAAACATTAATCACACTGATTTTTTCTCTATTGTAAACAATGTTGCAATTAACATCTTTAAGGTATGTACAGATTTGTACAAATGTACATGTATTTCTGTAGGAAGAGTCCAATAAAAGAAGTAAGTCAAAGATATACACATCTGAAAGTTTAACAGTCATTGTCCAAAAAATACCAAAAATTAAAAAAAAAAAGCTTGGCATGGTGACTCATGCCTGTAATGCCAGCACTTTGGGAGGCCAAAGCAGGAGAGTCGCTTGATCCCAGAAGTTCGAGACCAGGCTGGGAGACATAATAAGATCTCATCTCTAAAAAACAAAACAAAACAAAACATTGTCAAATGCCTTCCAAGAAGTTTCCACCAATATGCAGTCTTATCACTGTATCCAGCTGTGTCTACCTGCATCCTGTCCAACACACCCTACTAGCAATCATTTATTGGCTGTTTGTATCTCCTCCTCTGTGGCTTGTCTTTTTCAATTCTTTGCCAACAGGTACTTTCAGTCTTTTCTCTCCTTGCCCACCCCCCACCCCCAGGCTTTGCCACCATTGCCAGTTACAGAATTTTGGGTTTGAAATGGCTTTCCGGAATTCTGTAGACAACATTCTGTTGCCTTTTAGAATCCATGGTTACTATTGAAAAGTCAATGCTATGCTAATTCCTGATCCTTAGTATGGGACCTGTTTTTTCTATCTGAAAGTGTTTCAGATCTTCTCCTCACCCTGATATTCTGAAATGTGCCTACTGTGGGTCTCTGAAGTCAACATCCTAGACACCTTTTAATCTAGAGGCCTGTGTATTTCAGTTCTGGGGCATTTTCTTCTGTGCTTTTATTTTATTTTTTAAAGGATACTTTTTTCCTTGGTTCTCTCATTTTGAACTCTTTTTGTTTGATGTTAGGCTTCCTGAATTGATCCTCCAAGTCTGTTTCTCTTTTCTTTCTTTCTTCCTTTCTGTTTTATTTCCTGGGTTTCAACGTATAACCCTTCCACTGTATTTTAAATTTCAACTCTCTTAGTTTTAGCTTCCCAAAACGTTCTGTATTTTCTGATTGCCCGTTTTTCATGGCATCCCCAGAAGGATGCCAAGCAAGGAGGGGCAGGGAGGTATAAAAGTGGCCTGTGCGCGCCCCTGTGCCCTTCCCCTCTCACGCGAGAGCCACCTCTGAGGTCCCTCATGGCTCCTCCGGTCTGGACTCTGGTGCTGCTGGCGGGAGCTGCCTGGGGCCAGGGCCACACACCTGCCCCTGTCCGGTAAGCTGGGCTCAGGGGACAATGATAAGCCAGGGCAACAGCAGGGGTGGCTGGAAAGAAGAGTGAGGGACAGCGCTGGAGGAGGGACGGGGTTAACTGCAAATGGCAGCAGCTTGGGGAGGAAGCCAGGAGCCTGGAGGATGGGGAGGCATTGCCCAATGAGCAGGAACAGGGAGAGCTGCACAGCTCCAGAGCCTGGGATGAGGAACAGGTTCTGGGAGCGAGACAGAGCGGATATGTGAGAAGCAGCAGAGGGCATGCAGAGTTGGGGAGGCAGCTCTGAGGCCAGGAGAGGATGACAAAGGGGTCGGGTCAGCCGGGCTCGGTGGCTCAGCCTATAATCCCAGCGCTTTGGGAGGCTGAGGTGAGTGGATGGCCTGAGCCCGCGGGTTCGAGAC